CTCCTCTCTCTTGTCTTTCCCATACCCATCTTAGCTCCACACATCACAATCTACCCCCTCCTTCCTGCCTACCTGCACTGTGCGCTGAACATCACACTCCCAAGCAGCACAGGCATGGCCTACTGGAACCTGCCCTGGACTGATAGCCAGTCCGCACTGTCAGCCCTGGTACATGCCACAAACAACACATCCCAGCAACTCCTCTTCAACTGGACCTGCCCTGCTGTACCATGCCTGAGTGACTCACCCTGCCGTTGGAGAAGGAGGTGAAAAGTATCGTGCCCACAGATGAGCAAACAACAAAGAATGCACAGCCCACCTGCTCAGACATAACCAAATAAAACAAAAAAAAAGGATGAAACAAACAAATCTAAAATCAATACATGAGGAAAATAACTACTGAATGTCCTGAAGACAGCAGAAAATATCAAAACATTTACAAAAACAGGAAAGGATGGTTCCAGTAGGCATCCAAAATAAAACACCAGATGACCTTCCAATAAAAGAAAAGGCACTAGACCTAACTGATAGGGAATTCAAATCTCTAATATTCAGAATTAGCCAAGAGTTGACGCAAAAAGCAGACAAAAATGAGGAGAAAAATACACAATTTCATGGAAAAGGCAGACGAATTCATGGAAAATACAGACAAAAAATGGAATAATTCAAGAAAATAATACTGCAACAAAATGCTCAAATAAATTCACAACTAGAAATCATACAAAAACAACAATTAGAAATCTGAAAGATAAACAACAAGATTTCGGAAATGGACAGTGTCATAGAAGGGCTGAGGAGCAGGTTTGAAATGATGGAAGATAGGATCAATGAAATTGAAGACAAACACTTGGATACAACTCTGAGGAAAAATCAGAAAAAAGAACAAAGAAAAATGAAGAAACCCTGAGAATTATGTGGGATACAATCAAAAGCAAAAATTTGCCAGTGATCAGAGTTCCAGAACCGGGGAAGAAAACAGAAAAGACAGAGAAGGTCTTTGAAGAACTGCTGACATAAAACGTCCCCAATATCATGAGAGATGAAAAGCTGACCATCCAAGAAGCTTAAAAACTCCATACAGGATAGACCCCAAAAGAAAATCACCAAGGTACATCATAATCAACTTGCTAAAACCAAAGACAAAGAAAGAATACTGAGAGCAGCTCGAGAAAAACAAAAAGTGACATACAGAGGAGAAACAATAAGACTAAGCTCGGATTATTCGGCAGAAACCGTGCAGGCAAGAAGGCAATAGGATGACATATATAAAACCTTGAAAGAAAAAAATTACCAGCCGAGAATAATATATCCTGCAAAACTCTCTTTCAAATATGATGGTGAAATTAGGTCATTTCCAGATAAACAGAAATTAAGGGACTATGTAAAAACCAAACCAAACTTACAAGACTTATCAAAGGGAGTCCTTCGATCTGGGAAAAAACAACATCAGACCACAGGCTGAATCTAGGACACAGGATTGTACTAGCCAGATACCAACCTACGAAATGAACTCTTAAGGACTATGCAAAACCAAAAGAATTATAACAGGGAACCAGAGAGGTTAATCTGTAAATGACAACAGCATCAGAACAATAAAAGAGGGAATAAACGGTGTAGGTATAGAACTTTCTAATGGAGAGGAAGGCAAGATGATACCAAGTAATAATAGACTAGTTCAAATCTAGGAAGATAAAGGTAAATTTCAAGGTAACCACAAAGAAAGTTAACAAACCTGCTCATCAAAATAAAGAAGAAAAACATAGTCTCAGCAAAAACAAAACCTACAAAAACAAAAGAAATGGAAAAAAATCCAGAAACAAAAGGAACTCAGCACAGGAGGGTAAGAAGAACAAAGAAAATGTCAGCCCCACAAAAAAAAAAAAGCACTACAAAATGCATTCCCACTCCTAGGAATATATCCTAGAGAAATAAGAGCCATCACACACTTAGACATATGCACATCCATATTCATTGCAGCACTGTTCACAAT